TCGACTTCCCCTGGCATTTAAGAGATTAAAAACTGCGCCAGAAGCGAAATCAAAAGAGCGGCAATCCCTTCCCACGGATTGAATTGCCCCTGCCGAGAACTCCAGATGACCCCTAAAGTGAAAAGACCCCTTTCATGCATGTGATCCGGCAGAATAGTGGGGATTTAAAAGTCGATTATGGGAAAGTCAGTCAAATATTTAGTGGGCGTTGGTGGGGGAAGGTGCAGTTGATTGAAAAGAGCCCTTTCATGCTGTTTTGTTCGTGACGTTTAGCCGCAGGTTTTCACCCATGAAATTATTTTTTTTTCTCCCTCCTCACTAAATGCATCAAACTAGTATTAAACGATTCTCTTACAATGATATTTAATAAATAAATAACCATTTACTGAGCATTCTTTTATTAGATAAAAAACGTTGATTTAATGTCAATCGACAAAAATGGCATCACACTTAAAAGGCTCAAAAGAATGTGTTTGGAACAGCGATCCAAAGTAAAAATATTAAAAAATAAAGTAGAAGCCCAAAGTATTAAATGATTTGGTCTCTTACAATGATATTTAATAATGAAATATCGGTTTACATCTTCATGTTTTATTAGATAAAAAAACATTGATTTAATTCCAATTGACAAAAATGGCCTCACATTAAAAACGCTCAAAAGAATGTGTTTGGAACAAAGATCCAAAGTAAAAATATCAAGAAGCAAAGTAAAAGTTCAAAGCATTTTAATAGTCTCCTACAATGATATTTAATAATGAAATATCGGTTTACATCTTCATCTTTTATTAGATAAAAAAACATTGATTTAATTCCAATTGACAAAAATGGCCTCACATTAAAAACGCTCAAGAGAATGTGTTTGGAACAAAGATCCAAAGTAAAAATATCAAGTAGCAAAGTAAAAGTTCAAAGCATTTTAATAGTCTCCTACATTGACATTTAATAATGAAATATCGGTTTATATCTTCATCTTTTATTAGATAAAAAACATTGATTCGATTTCAATTGTCAAAAATGGCCTCACACTTCATAGGCTCAAAGGAATGTGTTTGGAACAGCGATCCAAAGTATTAAATGATTTGGTCTCTTACAATGATATTTAATAATGAAATATCGGTTTAGATCTTAATCTTTTATTAGATAAAAAACATTGATTTAATTTAAGTTGTCAAAAATGGCCTCACACTTCATAGGCTCAAAGGAATGTGTTTGGAACAGCGATCCAAAGTATTAAATGATTTGGTTTCTTACAATGATATTTAATAATGAAATATCGGTTTAGATCTTAATCTTTTATTAGATAAAAAACATTGATTTAATTTAAGTTGTCAAAAATGGCTTCACACTTCATAGGCTCAAAAGAATGTGTTTGGAACAGTGATCCAAAGTAAAAATATTTAGTAACAAAGTAAAAGTTCAAAGTATTAAACGATTTGGTCTCTTACAATGATATTTAATAATGAAATATCGGCTTACATCTTCATCTTTTATTAGATAAAAAACATTGATTTAATTTCATTTGACAAAAATGGCCTCTCTCTAAAAACGTTCAAAAGAGGGTGTTTGGAACAGAGATCCAAAGTAGGAAAAGATCAGACGACTAGAAGGAAGTGAATAAGGGTTAATCGAGGTCATCTGAGAACCAACGTATAGGTTAGAATAAAAAATAATAGGTTAATTAAGAGCGTAAAATCGATATTTTGTAAGTTTCAATTAATAAGTTATTTTTATTGCAATTTAATTTTCTTCAAGAAAAGCAAAGGGGTTGAAAACGCGGATTATAGGGCATATGTTTATTCTAAACGAAAGATTATTTTTTGTTTCGAATCAAATCGGAAAATCACTTCAGAATGATACAAAACAATATCATTAACGCGAGTTTTATTTTGAGGAAAGTCCACAAAGCCAAATAATGAAATGAAGGAATGGTTCTGATATTTAAATGATTTCTTCTATCATTTCTGACTTAAATTCCAGAGAAGAAAACCTTGCTTAAAATAGTCTAAAAAATAATAAATGAAAACATTTTTCCAATAATCAATTTCACTATACTTCTCAAAATAGTAATGCCATTTCAAACAGTTCTCATTTTCTGATATTAATTCTTATAAAAGAGGAAAGGTTTTATCAGATAAAATAATGAATTGTTACATTAAAATGTTGTTTTATTAAAACTGTTTATGGAATCTGTTTTAGATAAATTGCAGGGATTTCGGGAAAAACATGTACGAACAGGTTGCTGTTTGTATTCAGAAAAAATGATGAATTAAATCTGGTTTTGCATTACGACTTGTTACACATAATCAATAACCAATTGAAATCCTATACATGGTTTTAATACAAACTGGCTAAAGATAAATCAGTATTTAAAATATAGAAATCAACTGACTTAGCTTATTGCCAATTTTTGAATTTCAAGAGCAAGTTTGGGATAAATTTCAAATTACCTTTCGTTTGTTTTGCCTTAACAAAGTTTTTCCTTCCTTTTTGATATTACATTTTTCAAACATTTTAGCTGAGATTATATTTACTTGCGTCGACATTTGGAAAAGATAAATTTTTTATAATCAAAATCGAGTGTTTGAATTTTTTAATGATTTCATTTTATTTTATAATCTGTATTTTATTTTATTTATTTATTGTTTTGAACGTATCCGGATACTATCAACTGTCAATTTTGTATTTGGTCACTTTCTGTTTATCTTTACTCAGGGGTTGAATCTTAGCAATAAAAAAAATTAAAAAAATTCGGGTTGTTTTAATGATTTTAACCCCAGTTGTAAGCATTGGCAATTCTTAGCTTATCACAATGTTTACACGGTCTAGGTATAGTACGGCTTTCAGGAGAACTCCTCCAGACATCAGTCTCGCGTCGTGGTGGTTACCATGGTTACGAGAAAAAGTCACTTCGAATAGAGGTGTGGGGTGAATAGTTTTGTCTTGATCTTGGCATAGGTCAGCGTGAGTAAACCAATCAACACCTTCATTCCTCCTTTGCACCCTCATTAGAAATGTGCTCTCGCTTGTTACCATAGCAGCAGACAGTCCCCAGACATGTAGTCTGGAGGAGTTCTCATCAAAGCCGCACTATAGTAGGACCTGAGAAGCCTGGTCAAAATGACTTGTTTTCTTTTATTAAATTTCTCACTTTTCTCATAAAATCTAGGTCCATTTTGGGATTGTTGGTTTAAATTTTGATTGGACCGGGAAAAATTTTGATTTTATTGCTGATTATTATTTTGCTACCGATGATTTTGTTGTCTGTACTCATTAAGTTTAGATTCTTGAATTTTTTGTTTATTTTCATTTCGAGGTAAGCATTCGATAGTAGTCTTTCAGGGGTAAATCCATCGAAATGATCTATGATTATTTTTATGCCCAAATCTACCTTTTTCAGTAAATTATGAGTCATGGCTAGAAAACTTTGGAAATCAATGAAGACAATTGAAAAATAATTTCGATGCTGAACCCCGAATGGAATTTTTTTATATTGCTCATCGAAATATTAAATTTATTTCTAAAAATGTTAAGCTGAACACCTACGTCTGGTGCAAATATCAATATGTTAGATCTTTTGTCGAATTTGTTTACATCTAAATTTAGATTTTAAAAACTAGTATTCTACTTATTTCCCAAATTTATCATATCAATTATTAAATCATTTGACCTTTCAATAATAGTGGTTAATTCTACAATGAGGAAAAAAATTCTTTGCAGCACTTCCCATGTCAAATTGATAATTTTTGCTACTCTATTTAAGCATTAAAAAAAGCATTTCAAACACAAAACATAAATTTCAATTATAAACTATCAAATTTAAGAGTTAATTAAATTTAAGAATTCTAATATTTTAATTGATATACTATACTTTAACCTTAAGCTCAATATTTGAATAACAAAAATCCAATTTTAAAATTTTAATCATTTTAAATTTTTACCCGTTAATTTATTATGTAACAAATATAATGAATATCAATAAAATAAATACAGAAAAAAATTTTTTATATTGAATATTAAAAATATCGCCAATAAAATAGGTCATATGATCAACAGAAATATAAATATTATTTCTTACCTAATTCCTTTTATAAAAACTGAATGAAATATAAAATAATATCATATATATTATATTGTGAAGGTAGAAACATAAGAATTTTTTCAACCTTCAATAAAAATCAATTACTTTTGCTTTCATAAATTATGTTATATAAAGTTAAAAATTATCAATAAATCAAAAGAAATCTGTACCTCTCAATATGAGGATTAACGATATATTTGTAAAAAACTTTTTACATTAATAACAAAATAAGAATGAATATTAGGTATAGTTAAAATAGCTGACCAAATATATATATATATATATATATATATATATATATAGGGGAGAGTTGGGTAGCCC